AACCAAACCAATTGTTCACTCCCACGTTTTTTTTAAGAGAATCGCTCACTTCTACTTGTTAAACTCAAAAATCTCTAGTTCACATGAAAATAAGTGAAAGTAAATTAAAAATTTTAGTACCAAATTTTTTTGGTGCAATTGGTATCACTTGTTATTTTTTTATTGATGATTAGATTGGTTTTGAATTTTTTTATGTAAAGAAGTTCAATTAGAATCGTCAAGACAAACATTGTTAAGAGATAGAATATGATATATATATATATTTATAGAGAGAGAGAGAGAGTATGAGAAATGGTAGAATGTATTTAAAATGTCTGAGAGAGAGAAAGAGTTATATACGTNTATGATATATATATATATTTATAGAGAGAGAGAGAGAGTATGAGAAATGGTAGAATGTATTTAAAATGTCTGAGAGAGAGAAAGAGTTAGATACATATGAGAGTTGGATATATGAGATAAAGTGAGAGAGAGAGAGAGAGTTACATGAAAGATGGGAGACTTAGAGTTGTAAAATGAACGAAAGTCTAATTAGGATCATCAGATTAATAATCTTCAAATAATCTGAACCGCGAAAAGTTAAAGACAAACCATCTAGTTACTTTATTATATAGATGACCACTTTATTATTTCTTTACAATACCAATTAGAATAGAATTATAATCAAATGATTAATAACTTTTGGTCATTCTTCATATACATGACAGATATTTTTGGATAAGTTTTAAACAAATTATAGCTATTTTTGTGATTTTTTTTTCAAAACAATACGAAGTTAGTTTATTATTGGATAAAATATTATTGTAAGTACATGAAATCAAGATCACAGCTCATAATTTTAAAGTTAATTAGATTATAAAAATTCCAATATAAATATGTTTATTTGATGAGATTATTATAATTTGACTATAGCGGGCCACCACCTGAGAGAGATTATGAAATAGGAGAATATTCAATTGAGTAACTGGATCGAAGATAAAGAGATGATTGGTAACATGATTGTGTAAATAGAGGATGGCATTTTTTAAAGGTATTACTAATGAGTTCTTATGCAATTGTTTTAAAGTTTCAAAACATATCGGGTGTCAATTTCAATAGGTTGCATTAAACTTATTTTTTATATAAAGTTATAATTAATCTTTTTTGTTATTTTTTATTAGTATACACAATGTATTCTGATTTTTTTACCCATCTGTGTTTATTGAATTTTTAAGTATCAAATATAATATAATAAAATATAAATGTATCATATAATTTTTATCATTTAATAGAAAAAAATTAAAACTTATTAAAGTGTCCAAAGTGAATTTTCTGGCTCTGCCATTGCCCATCAATAAGAGATTTTTCCTCATTAGCAAGAAGCAGTTTTATCAACTCCAAGGGATGGTTTAGTAGAGACACGAATGAATTGTAAATTTAGATATTAACAATTCTTTTTGAGTTTCATAAGAAATTTATCCTCTCATGAAATCTTTAGTCCTAGCGTTGATGGTCGTCTTTGACGGGGCCTAAGAGTGAATTAGTCGAAGTGTGTATAAGTTGGTCCAGATATCTCTAACCGTAATACTCCAAAAAAAAAAAACAGTTGTATCGTATTATAACTAATTCTGCAATTAAGAAATTACGATTCAAACATGTCAAACTGCTATTCATTACGAACAAGTTTAGGTTTGTCTCAAAAAACTTGATAATGATCCCAAGTTTTTCATGATTGATCTCAAATTTTTAAATTCCATTGATTCATAACTTTTAGTCTCATTGAATTAAAACTTAAATTATTAATAGACACAATAGATTTTTCTTGATTTCTTCCACAATGAGAAGTTTTGTCCAATATTCTTAAGTAATTCCACATATCAAGAACCTCCTATAAAAATGACTTTGTTGTCGATTGTGATTAATTGGTCCAAAGTATCCAAAATGGGAATGCCCTTAACTTGAGGTTAATTCCTTAAAAAGTGCAACTCTTAATTTTCTAGCCTACCCAACCTTTATGCCTAACATAGGCCTAACTACTTACAATTAATTTAATAGTTGCATTAAATTATATCATTATAGCATTACTCTTTTTAATTAATGGTCAATTTATAGGTAAATGCATCTGTTATGTCGGATTGAATTTTATGTATTTTTCATTAAATTGATCTAGTTATCACTCGGAACAATGTTAGTAAGACATAATTTGAGGACTTTAGTTGATTATAATTATTGTATTATTAGTGGGTCCCTGTATTAAATACATTCTACTAACCATCTAATAGTTACAATGTATTAAATTCTTAAATTATATCTCAATAATGTTAATGTATCATGTTAATTGACGTGCTTATTTTAAGTTTGAATTAAAATTCAATCAATTTTTATTCATTAATTTCGTATCGAATTTGTTGCCTAATGAAGGACTTCCCCCATGAGAGATAGATGAGTAATGTAATATTTACCAAAATTTTTATTAAAAAATATTTTTATCAAATAAATTCGTAATTTTATATTCAATCAAAAATATATTGATCAATATTTGGTGGGCCAAGAGTGATTTAAAATTGCCAACTTATTTAATAAAAAAAAAATTTAAAACAGTTTTTTTGATATGTATAACATTTTCGAGGTAGATAGAGACTGGTACCCAAGTGAGATAGAGAGATAGATTGATAGGGACCGGTAACTAAACGAGGATTTGGCATTGAAAAGGGTAGATTAAAAAAAAAGAAAGAATTTGACTTGGCGCCCATTCCCATGCAACATATGTTGCTTCTCAATCTTCTTTTTTGACTTTTTTCCTCTTCTAGAGACTTTTTACAGCGTCATTTATAGGTGAGTTAGTTCACAGTTCGGTAGCAGTTTCGCACATTGATCACCCATTCACCTGCCAATTTCTTCAACGTACCCTCCTAAAACTGCATCTGCATGTGCATGTCCTCTCTCTCTCACTCTCTCTCTCTCTCTCTCTCTCTCTCTCTCTGTGTCACACACACAAACACAGAGTTGACTTACAGTACTGAAAAAATAAATTATATAATTATTTTTATGATATTTGTAAATATTTTTATTATTTTTGTCATATTTAAAAAAATTATTATTATAATAATGACAAAAATAGTCAAAAAATGTAATAATTTTTTTGTATCAAAATTTTTTTTCATAAATATGATAAAAATATTCACAAAAATAATAAATTATAAATAAAATAATAAATCACCAACAATAATAATAATTTTTTATTATAAAATAACTCACAAAAATTATAACAACATTCGTTAAATTCGTAAAAGTTAAAAATGTAGTACCAAAATTTTCTCTGGCGTACCTAGTTTTAAGTCCAACAAACAGGTTCTTCTGAAGAGAACCTGCAGCCGTCCAATGTACGAGATTGAGTGTTTTTCTGCCACGAAAAGTGATGGGTCAATTTATTGACAGCAACTAATTGGTACTACGACTCTACTTGGAGCAATGCCGGTGACCGACAAATTAATGTCATTCATGCTCACTAAAACACTATAATATTTAATTTTTATTTTTCAATATCATAAAAAACTTCAAAAATATAATAAATTTTCTCTATAAGTTAAACCAAAAAAGAGTGTTAATTGAACTTAAAAATATAATAAGTGAACCCCAAAGATGAATACACCCCAAAAGTTGGTACTGATTTTACCCAAAATTTATAATTAATACGTGATACGATACTGATTTTTTTTTTTTGATATTATTGGGAAACATCATATTCCATATCCTAAATGAACTACTTGACTAAGCTACCGAAAAAAAAAAATTGTTATTGTCCCTTCAAAATTTACTACTTTAATGAGTATTTTTATAATTTTTGTGAGTCAAGTTATAATCAAAAAATTTATTATTTTTGGGGGTGATTTATTAATTTTGTAGGTATTTTTATTACTGTTGATATTTTTATCACAATTATGATAATTATTTTTTTTACTTTTCTTTGATACAAAAAAAGCTTATAATAAGTTATAATATGATTGTGTAAATTCCTATGTATTTGGAGGTATCCATTACATTTACTTTAAAAATAAATAAATTAGTATACAGCGAAAATAATGATCAACAAGTATAATTGATGGTTTAATTAGAAAGGGTAGAACTGGACTAATGATGTGTGATTGATGAGGACATAATAAACTGATTTGAAACAAATAGTACTACTGATTGTTCTAATAGAAATATGATAGGATTCTCTTACTTTTCTCTTCAATTTTTTTCTACACAGAGTCACATTGTGGCCAAGGGCGACAATGTGTTTGGTGATGTGGATAAGTAAACCACAAAAACTAAATATATTTGTTTTCCTCATTTGATTTGAAATTGTGCTCTATAAAGTATAAACAATAGAGCAATGCTGCAAATAGCATTTCCCTAAACAATACTGCTCCTACATACAAAGACCAAACTACATCGTAGGCAAACAGTAGATTACCATCCACACCTAACTCCACGAAACCAGCAGTAACAAACACCCATTACGCCACGTGGCACAAACACACATGCCCCTCCTCAGTCTCCTCCTTCTATAAGAAGACGTCAAGTAAAGAGATTAGGAGATGTAGGTCACCATCCATCTCTCTCTCCCCCCACAAACCCTAACCCATACAGTTCATACCTCAAGCTCAATCCCAAATGTGTGAGTATATATGAAACCAATTTTCTATATATAGAAACCCAAATCAAGATCCCATTGAAGAGGTTTGTTTCCTTTTCTCAAGAAACACAAAAGGTGTTCTCTTTTCTCTCACCTACTCAGTTTGAAGCCCACAACCATAACTTCATAACCATCCGGCTCCTCCCCGTTTCTAGCGATTTTATCTCCACCGTTTACGGTGATCTTAACCGTCGGAGCTCTTCCGTGACTTCCCAAAGAATCAGTTCAACAAATGTACTCTCTCTGTATATACATCCATTTCTTTCTCTAAAACTCCATTTCTGTGACTTCTGGGAACACACCCACATCATACATAGGTATACAGAAGAAGAGAACACGAATGTCTCGTGTGGTAGCGGAAAACATATCGCCGGCGAGAGATAGCATACCCTTTTATGACCGGAGACAAACAATGGAGATGTCACCCGCCTGTGCGTCTACTTCACCGACACTGGGTCACTTGCTAAAGTGCGTCGGCGATGTACGGAAAGAAGTTACTGGCGACGAAACGCCAGTTCATCAAGTTCTCGAGATGAACGAAGGCATTGTCGAGCCTCGGGCTTTTCCGTTCGTGCTTAGCTTCAATAACCTCACTTACAGCGTCAAAATCCGCCGGAAAATGACTTTTCCCACTCTTTTCCGCCGTAACAACCGCCTCGGAACGGCCGCAACTTCCGCTGAATCTCTCGCCGGAGAAGACGTGTTCACGAGGACCAAAGTATTATTGAACGATATCTCCGGCGAAGCGAGAGACGGAGAAATACTGGCCGTGCTCGGAGCTTCTGGATCGGGAAAATCAACCCTAATCGATGCTTTAGCGAACCGGATTGCGAAAGGTAGCTTAAAAGGCACAGTCACTCTCAACGGCGAGCCTCTCGAATCGCGATTACTCAAAGTCATCTCAGCCTATGTAATGCAAGACGATCTTCTCTTTCCGATGCTCACCGTCGAAGAGACTCTCATGTTTGCCGCCGAGTTCAGACTCCCCCGAACTCTCTCGAAATCGAAGAAAAAAATGAGAGTTCAAGCTCTGATCGATCAACTAGGGCTACGAAACGCTGCCAAAACCGTGATCGGAGACGAAGGCCATAGAGGTGTCTCCGGTGGCGAACGCCGTAGAGTATCCATCGGAATCGACATTATTCACGATCCGATCATACTTTTTCTCGACGAACCCACCTCCGGACTCGACTCGACCAGTGCTTTCATGGTGGTTAAGGTATTACAACGAATCGCTCAGAGTGGAAGTATAGTGATAATGTCTGTTCATCAGCCGAGTTATCGGATAATCGGATTGTTGGATCGTTTGATATTTCTCTCTCGTGGTCAGACTGTTTACAGTGGATCTCCGGCGAATCTACCGTTGTTCTTCTCCGATTTCGGCCATCCGATACCGGAGAACGAGAATCGAACCGAGTTCGCTCTCGATCTCATTCGAGAATTAGAAGGCTCACCTGGTGGAACCAAAAGCTTAGTCGAATTCAACAAATCATGGCAGGATTTGAAGCGAAGTAGAGCTCGAGATAATGATCCAAATCAATCCCCAAGTTCAACCCATAATTTATCGTTGAAAGAAGCAATCAGTGCGAGCATTTCACGAGGAAAATTGGTCTCTGGAACAGCAAACGATTCGAGTCCTTCTTCAATGGTGCCCACATTCGCAAACCCTCTCTGGATCGAAATGGCTGTTCTATCGGAGCGATCGTTCAAAAATTCTCTGCGAATGCCGGAGATTTTTGGGATTAGATTGGCTGCAGTTTTGGTTACTGGGTTCATCTTAGCTACAATCTTCTGGCAACTCGATAATTCACCCAAAGGCATTCAAGAACGATTAGGATTCTTCGCCTTTGCCATGTCCACGACCTTCTACACCTGCGCCGATGCATTGCCGGTGTTTCTTCAAGAGCGATACATATTCATGAGAGAGACTGCTCACAATGCTTATCGCCGATCATCCTATGTTCTCTCTAAATCACTGGTTGTGTTGCCTTCTCTGGTTTTTCTCTCTCTTGCTTTTGCGGCTTTAACTTTCTGGGCTGTTGGGTTGGACGGTGGAATTTCCGGGTTCTTCTTCTACTTCGCCGTAATCTTTGCCTCATTCTGGGCCGGAAGTTCCTTCGTCACCTTTCTCTCCGGCGTCGTACCACATGTAATGCTCGGATACACCATTGTAGTCGCAATCTTAGCTTATTTCCTTCTCTTCTGTGGCTTCTTCATCAACCGCAATCGAATTCCACCCTATTGGATCTGGTTTCACTACATATCTCTAGTGAAATACCCATACGAAGCTGTGTTACAGAACGAATTTGAAGAACCAACAAAGTGTTTCGTAAGGGGAGTTCAGATCTTCGACAACACGCCTTTCGGAGCAGTTCCGACGCCTTTGAAGGTGCAGCTTCTGAGCAGTATCAGCAATACTCTGGGGATGAACATTACGGCCACGACATGCGTGACCACGGGAAGGGATATACTGCAGCAACAGGGGATCACTGATCTCAGCAAGTGGAATTGCTTGTTGGTCACTGCTGCTTGGGGGTTTTTCTTCAGAGCTTTGTTTTATTTCACTTTGTTGCTGGGAAGCAAAAACAAGAGAAGGTAGAGTGTTAAAAGAGGTTCGGATCGGGTCGTGTATAAGACGTGTATGACGGAAAGTTTATTAAGTTTTTTATTTTTGGAATTTAAAGGAATTTTTTGCTTTTGGTTAATTGGGTTATTTGATTTGGGTTAGATCATTGATTATTTTTGTTTATATATATATATATATATTAATCAAGTATATAATCAGTGTCCCCTTAGGTTGGATGAATTATCTATTGATTCAGGACCTTCAAGTCAGCAAAGCCTAGCTCGAAGTTGAATCCGCCTGTATAGCACCTGCCCAACAAGATCTTCGATGGGAAAGAGCCGCGGAAACTCAAGAACAAGGTAAGACAGAGTAGTACCAAATTCGGAAAAAATGCCTTTCATGTAAACTCAAACATTAAAAATTTTGATAATTTTTGGAGTCAGGTCATGAATATTTTAGTTTTGACGTGGATGATCTATCTTTAATCGAATCGAAAAACGAATTAATCAAAATATGTATAACCTAACCCAGACACCCCTGACTATCAAATAAAAAAAAAATAGGGTTAATCAAGATTGGCTAACTAAGGAAATATTTAAGGAATAAAAGAGTAATTTGTTGTGGGATAAGCAATAAATTTGGGTTTGAATATGTTCTTATACACTTTTTCTTATTTTACTTCAATTTGTTATAGGTGATATAAGAAAGTGCCAGAGACTGGGGAAGAATGTATTAAAGGATATTTAAAACTTATTTAATTCGACATATATAGCAAGAATAATAAGATTGTACGTATAAAAGAAATAAAGTTAAAAAAAAAAAATATCGTATTTTGACAAAAAAATATCGATTTTTTTATTTGGATATCATTGTGAACCATCATTGGAGGTGTGTACGAGGCCCTACTTCCCACCTATACCACAGAAATTGTGGTTGGGCACTTGAGATTGAAAATCAATACTAGTTCTACATTCACATATTTCAGCAAACTTAACGAAGAGAATGAATTGATGAACAAACACCATGGCTAAATGTATAGGAAGTTATAACGTATGTCAAGCTAATTCAAATAATAATATGAACGAATTATAAATTAAGATATTTTGAGTTTGATTTTTTTTAAATTTTTTAAAATCAGATCATAAGAGATTTATTCTTCATGAATATCTTAGTTTCGACATAAATATTTTATTTTTGACCAAACCGAATATGAGACTAGTCAAGATACGTGCAAATTAGACCAAATACTCTTGACCGTTGAACCTAAAAAAAATATGACATACTTAGGATGGTAAAATTTTCTGGATTAGTAGGATGGGGGAGAGTATGTCTTGCCAATTGGCTTGTTAAGCATAATTGATACATAATTATATACATTCCGAGTTTATATAATGTTCAGACGCCCAAAAAAATGCATTATTAAAAGAATTCTTGATAAAATTGGTAATAATTATCATACCTAAATTTAGCTCCCAATAGAAGATGTTTGCAAAAATTTAAAATGGGACACATTGATGGGATTTGTGCAACTTGCCAATCATGAGGTGACACGTGTCATGGTACCACCAATAGAAGTATCAACCCAAGTTGCCACGGGCCAAGTTCGCACGATGAACATCCCTAACGCTGAGTAAATATGCTTGATGAGCGAATGGACGTATTTACGGGCGATCCCTATAATTAATTATTCTTGGAAAGCATGCCTCGTGTAATATGTCGACGTGATGAGTGATCATTGTCATATCATATCAACTTGGGTTTAACACTAAACCCAAAAAAAAAAAAAAATAAGACACGATCCTTATTAACAAAAATAGTCGTGGGTACATTTGTTTAACATGAGACCATAAATACTTGACTTTAGATTACTTGATATTCAAGATGACTTGATGATCGAGGGACGGGAAATAATAATTGCTCGGTCTCCCAAGTGTTTAAGTCATGATTGCTTCCTATTGTCGGGCATGAATAAGCCACGACATGACGTATTTATTACCCGGCTCGATGATAAGAGATCAACTAATATGATAGTCACAAGGAAGATTTTAGTCGTAGACCAGTAAGCTTAGGCTTGGTACACTCAAGTGGTTGTCACATTATCAAATTTAAAGGTATAGATAACCTAACGAGATAGAACTCAAATATGCATGCTGAACTTGCTTTGCACAGTGCGTTTATTCTTTCAACATTGAACATCAACTTACTTAGACATCGGAAGGAATAAGCTGACTACGTGCCCGATTCCTTTGTGAATGTGTTCCTTGTTTCAAGAATCTCTCCCAAGATTCAGCTAAAAGTCGTTATCTCAAACTATTACAAAAAATCAGCAATGCAGAATACCTATAAATAAACAAAAGTTACAATAGAACTGGATTTGATATTGGGTTTTTTTTGAAAAACTTCCATTTGTTAGTGATGAAATTTGGTGTTGATTCGCTACCGAACTGAAAAATGAAATTTTTTGTCAGTAACTTTTCTTCATAGAGGTTGACACCCAACCCCGCTTTAATCCCCAGCCTTGATTAGGAATATATTAGAAGAGACTTAAATCCGTGTCTACTTTAAGGTGTACAATTTTTGTATCACATGGTCACAAATGAAGGATTGCCGTTGAAAGCCATCAACATCATTAATTTCTGTGTTTTTTGCATTTTATATTTTGGAAGATTTTAAAATTTTCGTATTGTACTTTCAAATATTAAAATTTTCACATTATACCTTTAACGTATCAAAAATGTTATAATATGATCTTTCTATTAGCTTTCGTTATTTTTTTCATCAAAATTCAATTTATTAACGCTGACGGAAAAATTAACAGAAAGTTAATAAAAGAGTTACATTGCCATATTTTTAATATATTAAAGGTAAAATATGAAAAATTTAATCTTTGAAAGTATAAAATAAAAATTTTGAAATCTTTTAAAATACAAAGTTGAATTCGCCCTTAATTTCTTCACTCTTTAAGTCTTAACTTGCTATGGTCTACAGAATTTCCAAGCTAAGCTTTCTATGCAAATATCTTCGACTTTGTCAGGTATCTGTTGGTATCAAATGAGAGGGCATGGCTTGTTTGGACAAGCAATAAATAGAGAGATGATAAGCACTTGTCACCATAAATACTTGAACTTGAGTACTTTGTGATACAAAGAACAAGGCCTAGACAGTAACCTGCTTGGCCAGCACAGTCATGCATGCAACTGAATATTAAAATTTAATTTTGATATATATAGCTGAAACGGCGAAATGTTTCATTTTCCAACAAATCAAAACAGTCATAAAATCGAAATTCTAATGTGTTGAGGTATTTTGTGTGATTTTTCGGCTTGTTTCCACCAATGATTTACAAGTTTTGAGATATTTCAAACGGAATAAATTTTCCCATTTTTTTATTTGTTTTCATTCTATTTACGATACATTTTTGAAACAATTCTAAAATGCTTTTATATATTTTCCCGCAGGGTGAAAAACATTAGACATTCTATCTCGGGGATCGAAATAATACATCAAAATAAAATTTTGATCCTTAATTGCAACCGTATACATTCTCTCATAGCTCCCAATGTATCTTTTATATCTGATGCTTTATAATAAGAAAAAGTCCAAAATGAAAAAAGTAACGGTCCAAACCGTTCAATGAGATACAAAAATTTAGAATCAATATTAAACAATTTGGAATCTAGTTGATTAAGAGGAGGAAAAAAAGTCTTATTGATGTAGCCTTTGATTTGCGAATTACACAAAGAATGACATTGAATAATAAATAACTTGATTCAAACAAGCTACAATAAAAATATGATACAAGATGACTCACCTAACAACCTTAATGTTAATCTAATGTTATTCGGATCATGGATCAATTTGGTTTGTGATACGGGTATGTGATGCAGTGCTCCTTTTAAGATGTAATATGGTAGAGGTAGACTTAATTGGTAAGTTGTTCCAGGTCGTGATTCGTTTTCCAACTTGTATATAGATATATCTATTAAGCATCCGTTTGTTTTGTGGTCACGTGAGAAACACATGATTATATGCAAGGGATTTATTATCAAACAACACCAATTCGAGCTCAAATTTGTCATCATCCTTGCATAAAAACCCTAAATTACTTGTAATTTCAGGGAGAAGAAATAAAGAGATCTAGAAGGAGAAGAATGAGATATGCAAAAAATGTGTTATTGCGGTTGAAGGGTTGAAACGAATACATTCTGGATGGAGTTAAACCCTAAAAGGAGATTCATCACATGTGTGAGTGACGAGAGGTCAGCTATTCTTCCTATTTGATAATTACAGTTTTTTTTTAATTCTTTGTAAAGTTTATTCTTCGTAAGTTGTTCTTCCTATCGGGCCATTGAACAACTTATTTTTCCAATATTATTAAGAAAATCATTATCGGTTTTAAGCTAAATAATACCGGATTTGCTGCGTTGCGGTACTCATTTAGAAGAATAGTTGGAACAATCCATAGAAAGGCAAAGATGCTTTGGTACTACATTAGTGGTTCTTGGTTTCTGGTGATCATATGTGTCTTCATGAATCAATTTGATGACTATGGCTCTCAGCTAGGGATGCTTCAAATGGGGAGATTTTGCCAATGCAACTATTGTGAATGTGTTGATTGGAGCTAGTTGAAAACTAATATAATTTTTGGCTAACTTAGAGCTTTTTTGTATTTAATATGATGATAGTTATTGTAATGCAATATTTGTGTAATGTGTTGATCGATGTTGTTATTTGAAAAACTTATGAATTAGTGTTGTTTACAAAGTATTTGCTTATGCTTGTTTGTAGTAATACAATACAAAAGATACTAACATATTTATATCTATATCTATATCTATACTATAAGATGAAAAACTTTTAAATTTTTATTTTAACCTTATAAAAGATTGTAAAGATCACTCTATTCTTTAATAATTAAATATCTAAATTACAACTATATCCTTATATCTTTAAATCTCTAATACATCATTATATTTTCAATAAAGTGTTCAAAAACCTTTCAAAAACTCTATAAATCTAATATTTCTCATCTCATATGCAAAGATAATATTATGTTTATATGTGTATTTTATTTTTCATCGCAACGCATGTTATGTATTGCTAGTTCCAAAAGGAGATGCAGTCTAACTGCACCACACTGTTGTTGTGTTTTTCATGAACTTAGTTGTGGATGAGCGAGCTGATACAGACTTGGTATTCTGTGGGGAGGTCAGGTCTGGGAGTAATTGACAACTTCACTACTAATGACTTGCCTGTTGGCCTGTAACCACAGTGTGATGCATTACTTGGTGTCTTCTAAGTAGATTTATCTGAAGAAGTTACTGGTGGCCTTCGAGCATAATGATTTGAATCAGCTGTAGATGGCTTCCAAGCACCTGTGATTTAGCAGCTGCAGATGGCAATGCGGATTTATTTGAAGCAACTGTTTGTGACCTCCTTAGACTGATTTGACATATCTGACAATAAAGTCCTTACATATAATCACGTGTTTTGCACGTGATCACAAAAGCAGATTAACGCCTAAACGGAAGTAAAGTGGTAAATGAGATCACAACCTTTTTACTTCTTTAAGGATACAATTTTAAAAAAATTAATTTTTAGAGTGTAATTTAAGAATTTTGTTATCTTTCGGGGGGCAAAGTAGAATTTTCCCATTTTACTATTACATCAAGATCCAATCTTTAAAAAAAAACATTGATTCTAAATGTTTAGATGTGTAAGGATTTTTTATTTATTTATTTATTTATTTATTTATTTATTTAAATCCTGTACTTTTAAGAAAATTCAAAGGCCACAAAAAAGGATGCGAAAAATGGGTACAGACAGAGTCTCTTATCCTGTTATCTGATCCAAATCGATCAGATCGAGAGATAGAGAGAAGGAAGCAGAAATGGCCACTGTACCATTCTCAACTCTTCCACTGTCAAAGGCAAACCCACTCTTCGCATCTCCACTAGCTCATTCCCAGCAAAAACCCCACGCGCCGCCCTCTCACCTCGCCTTCACCACCCGAGCTACTCCCGAAAACTCCGAACCCGACACCAACACCACCACCACTGACTCAACCCAAGCCCGAGAGCCTGACAGCTTCGACGTCCGACTCTCCCAGGTCCGACTTCGCTACCGGAGCGGCACAGGAAAGAAATCGGAGATCCGAAAGACCCGAAAAAGCAAGAAGGGCACCTCTTCCGGCGCCGGAATATACCTCCCTCCGGTCCCGCTAAAAGAGCCGGTCTCCGGCGGCTTGAAAGTGGATTTCGGGTTCAGCCCGTATTCCGAGCGGGTCAACGGTCGGGTGGCTATACTCGGACTATCCGCTTTGATTCTGGTGGAATTAGCCACCGGAAAGAGTGTTATAAGTTATCATTCGCCGGCGGTGGTGTTGATTCAGGTGTATTTTGTGGCTGCGGTTACGGCTTTGTATGTGAAGTGGGAGAAAGAGAGGATTAGTGTTTGGCCACAGTGATTATTACCTTCTGAGAAATTAATGTAATTTAGTTGAATTTTTTTTTTATTGCATCTTTGTGTGATATTTAAGAAAATATTTACATGTTCTTGATTTGAAGAGCTAATAAGGCTTGGATTGGATTAATAGTTGAGAGCTTGAGTGTTTTTATTTATTTTCTCTCTCGTCTTTTTTTATTTTTGGGGGTCTCTTAAACTATTTTTATTGATATATTCAAAAATTCTTGAGATCATAACAGGTGATTAATGTTATAATTAAAATAGTTTGGATGAGAATATCGTGAAGAGTAATACTATTAAGATCTAAACAAATTAACATAATTTATTAATTTAATAATGTAGTAATGGCATGGTCTAATAACCACAAGAAATAACTCGAGTAATAACAAGAACGAGTTGTAAACGTAGACGTCTTGAATTAGAATTTTGATAACTCTTTAGAGCTAAGTCATAAAAGATTTATCCGTCATGAATACCTTAATCTTGATATGGACGGTTTGTTTTTCATCGCATTGGAGAGGAAATTAATCAAAGTACGCATAAACTGATTCAGACATCCCTTAAACTTTTAAAAAAAAATGACATAGTCCAATAATAATGATGTGAGTGTAATTATAAGGGTGTGTTTGGCAATTCATGGATGAACTGGACTGGCTTGGATTTAAATCCTAAACCAGTCTAGTGAAATCTCAATGGGCCGGATTTGTAAGGGAATAAAAGAAAATTGTATTATCCAATCCTTGCTTTAGATAGTGCATTATGATGGAGTTGGAATATGAACAAACAATAATTTTTTATTAAACATCTAATGCCTTTGACATTAATTGACCATTTTACCCTTGAATCCTATACAATCCTTTCTCCATTTTGGCTTGAGAATTGTTAGTTACCACCTTTTTTTTTTTTTTTACTTTCTAATCATTATCAATTAATATTATAACAAAAATAAGAATGTTCATGTATTCACCTGTTTTTCAGTGTCTAGTCTGAATATAGCCACATAATCAAAGCCCGAAAAAGCACAAGCAAATGGAATTATGCCAAAAGCATATTCATATCCCTTTTTCTTATACAAACCTATCTCCCTGCTCATTGTGCTCCACAAAATCAAGATTCCACTGTGTGACCCTCTATATCGCAACATAAACTCCATTTGCAAAGGCTCTAAGAAAGGTTTAGAGTTGCCGCAGCAAAGCAATAAGCCCTTATCATCCTTTGAGGGTCCGGAATTCTCAATTTCTCATTAAAAGCATCACCATTGATATTGTCTCCCTTGTAACTTGACAGCTTCACTCCATTCTTCTCCTCCAATGGATCTGATCTCAGCTTGGCAAACTGACCCGCCATTCTTCCCACCTAAATTAATCAAGCCCATAATTCAAAATCACAATTCTCAAGTTCCCAATTTTCATATAACCAATAATACTCTTGAAAACCCTTGTGATGGACAAAAATTAATTCTGCAAAATTTTTATTTACTTTTGATCTCAATCCATAATGCCAACAGAAAGAAATGTATAGAAAAACTATAAATCTAAGAACCCATTAATTCAACATCAATGAAACAGGCCAACATTTTTGGAAACCCATGAAAATTAATCAATACTCACAACTTAAATTCATTCTATCTGGATATATCTTCACGTAATAAAGGAAAAAAATTATATAGAGATCCATATAAAGGTGTAAGATTCATTACCTTAATAATAGGCATTTGTCCACCAAACATGAGAACAACGCTCATCTGAAGAATAATTTTGAAAGTGTCACGAATATTATTAGCACTGAACTCCTTGAAACTCTCGGCACAAAGCCCTCCTTGCAACAGAAAAGCATTCCCCAACGCCGCATCAGCAAGCTTTTCCTCCAAACTCCTCGCCTCATCGGCGAAAACGATTGGAGGGAAGGCCTCAATGGTCTTAAGCACAGATTCAAGCTCAGCTTCATCTGGGTACTCAGAAAGTTGCAAAACCTTCTTGGATTTTCAGCTGTCAACTGCCCATTTCCCAGATGACGCCGCAGTGGGCGATAGTGCAGATGATTTGGGAGTTTTTTCGGTGATAACTGGGGTTTTGGTAGGCTCCGACGTGTGGACGACGACGATGGGTTAGTGGGATCTAGTACCGGAGGGGAGAGAGAAAACGAGTTGGTGGGTCTGGGTGCAAGGGAAGAGAGAATGGGGTTGGAGGAGTGATTTGAAAGACAAAGTTGAGGTGTAGACGACGGAGAGGAGAGAGAGAGAGAGATAAAGGCGGTGGTGGCCTATGGAGGAAGAGGGAATAAACAAACATTCGTGTTTTACTGTTTAAAGGGTAATAACGTAATTTCATGCTTTATCCATCCACTAGGCTTAGAAATCCCAAAGTCCAGCCGGGTTTCATTTATCCAGATCAGATGAGATTTGGGGCTTAATTGACTACGGGCCGAGTAATTCAACCTAACGAAAATCCAATCCCATTTAAATGACCCAAAGCTGGGATATGTGGACCTCTGGATATTTTTATCCAATCCAACAAGTTCTATCCGCCTATATCCCTCCAAACAAACACACCCTTAGACTTTTTTAGTAAAATTTCATCATTTGACACATCATTAAATCAATTTTTTTAAATTCCAATAAGATTATTAGGGAAAAATGCAACTTTCCTATCTCTCATATAGTAGTAAAATTAATGTGGGGATGATTCTTTTACATTAATTTAACTTAACAAAATTTTATCCCAACTATCTAATTTGTCAAAAAAATGGACTGATAATTTAGTGTTCTCTGGTGTAGAATAAAGTCATTCATATAGAACTATTTTTCTCTCTCACCATAACCACGACAACACTGTTTGGTTGAAGTTAGAATCGTGGGTGTGACATTGATGCGTCTATTCTACTGCCAAGTGTAAAGGAATAATAAGAACCATCAAACTCTGTCCAAATCGAATTCAAGTCTTAGTCCTGCTAATCACCAAACGTTTTTTTTTCTTAACATTTATGCATCTTACCCTCAATACAATATTCAAATCTCAAACTTCCAAATTAGAAGGGGAGACGCCAACTGAAATTACAATCCGCCTTAGCTTCCGACACCAACATGGCAACATATCAATCGATAGAGGCTACAGGCCAACATGACATTGGCAGCAAAGTCTCATACCAAAGTCCCACAAATTTTTCAAGTTCATGTTTCATTGCCCATGATTCTAAAAACGAAACAATTGTACTCAAATAATTTTTGGAAATAGCCCTCTCCAACGGATCAGGACTTCCTCTTCTCACATTATAGTCGTGTCCCATGCAAAACACATTTTTTTTAATGTATGTTTTAAGTTATTATAGTTAAAAAATTAAAATTTAAATAAATTACTATTATTAAAAGTTAAAATTTAAATAAGTTACAGTAATTTAAAAGTTAAAAGAGTTACCGTACTTAAAAGATTAAAATATTAAATCATAATATAAACCGTCAGGCCGTTTTATGCTTTTTTAACTGAGAAACTTCAGCAACTCAAGCAAAAGGCTTTGTTTTTATAATATATAAATTCTAACTCTTTTAATAGTAAATCATCTGCCGTGTATTGACGAAGACTTGAATACTATTGAGTTTCACTTTGTGCATAATATACCATCATGAAAATTTAAAAGCAACAATAGAGGTCAATCACAAAAAAGGATGACAACCGAGCCGAACTTTATAAGCTCAAATTGAACCTGTCAAACTCATTTTTTTAAGGGAGTCTAAAAAATTATTTAAATTCAATTCGTTTACAAAATAAACCAAGCCTAAAACAAGCCGAACTTAGCCAACCCAAGTAACTCGACTATTTTATATATAAACAAGATATACTTTACGAGCTTAAGTCGAACCTTTTAGGCTCGTTTTTTAAATAAGTTTAAAAAATTATTTAAGTTCGACTCATTTCGAATTGAATCTTATCCAAGCCCAGGCCAACCCAACCCAGCCCAAATAGTTTGGCTCAATTATTAACCCTGAGCACAAAAGTAAACTTTTTCCAAGAGTAGGTGTGATTGCTGAATCAAATAGCATAGCAGGTTCTACCCTCAAAATTTATCAAGTGGCCAGCAGCCATCATGCAACTAAGTTAAGCTGATCCAGCACTTGGCAGTTCATTTACAAAACACAGTAATGCTGATATTTTTCCTTATTCCATTTTTCCCTCCAGTACACATACCATGATTTGTGTTCCATGAAGAATAATGATAATTTCTTTAAAACAGAAAATTATTCATACAACATTACACTTAACACGAGCCATGCCACTGTTGTAACCATAAAAATTTAAGGGGGACTCTTAATTTTTCTATTTCAATCAGATGTCACTCACCTCATACGGGCGTGATCCTCCTCCGTATCCTCGATAAGGTGAACGGGGTTATCAACCTTGCCCAGGTTCCAGGCCACACCTTGGAAACATCAGTTCTGCTGCTTCCTGGGCTCCCTCAAACACTAGATCTTCAGGGGCAGCACATTCCCTACTGGTTTTCTTTCAATATAGTTGGATTTCAGCTATCAAGAATGCTTTGTCAAAAAATCATTAACGGCTAGGCTGGCATCTCCATGGGCCACAGCATCTTCGGGCTCTGGCATGTAGAGACTGGACATACAAGCCTGTGCATCATAAACCGATTCAGTTATTCAATAAAACCAGCAAAAAATAGAATATACACTTCNGACACCAACATGGCAACATATCAATCGATAGAGGCTACAGGCCAACATGACATTGGCAGCAAAGTCTCATACCAAAGTCCCACAAATTTTTCAAGTTCATGTTTCATTGCCCATGATTCTAAAAACGAAACAATTGTACTCAAATAATTTTTGGAAATAGCCCTCTCCAACGGATCAGGACTTCCTCTTCTCACATTATAGTCGTGTCCCATGCAAAACACATTTTTTTTAATGTATGTTTTAAGTTATTATAGTTAAAAAATTAAAATTTAAATAAATTACTATTATTAAAAGTTAAAATTTAAATAAGTTACAGTAATTTAAAAGTTAAAAGAGTTACCGTACTTAAAAGATTAAAATATTAAATCATAATATAAACCGTCAGGCCGTTTTATGCTTTTTTAACTGAGAAACTTCAGCAACTCAAGCAAAAGGCTTTGTTTTTATAATATATAAATTCTAACTCTTTTAATAGTAAATCATCTGCCGTGTATTGACGAAGACTTGAATACTATTGAGTTTCACTTTGTGCATAATATACCATCATGAAAATTTAAAAGCAACAATAGAGGTCAATCACAAAAAAGGATGACAACCGAGCCGAACTTTATAAGCTCAAATTGAACCTGTCAAACTCATTTTTTTAAGGGAGTCTAAAAAATTATTTAAATTCAATTCGTTTACAAAATAAACCAAGCCTAAAACAAGCCGAACTTAGCCAACCCAAGTAACTCGACTATTTTATATATAAACAAGATATACTTTACGAGCTTAAGTCGAACCTTTTAGGCTCGTTTTTTAAATAAGTTTAAAAAATTATTTAAGTTCGACTCATTTCGAATTGAATCTTATCCAAGCCCAGGCCAACCCAACCCAGCCCAAATAGTTTGGCTCAATTATTAACCCTGAGCACAAAAGTAAACTTTTTCCAAGAGTAGGTGTGATTGCTGAATCAAATAGCATAGCAGGTTCTACCCTCAAAATTTATCAAGTGGCCAGCAGCCATCATGCAACTAAGTTAAGCTGATCCAGCACTTGGCAGTTCATTTACAAAACACAGTAATGCTGATATTTTTCCTTATTCCATTTTTCCCTCCAGTACACATACCATGATTTGTGTTCCATGAAGAATAATGATAATTTCTTTAAAACAGAAAATTATTCATACAACATTACACTTAACACGAGCCATGCCACTGTTGTAACCATAAAAATTTAAGGGGGACTCTTAATTTTTCTATTTCAATCAGATGTCACTCACCTCATACGGGCGTGATCCTCCTCCGTATCCTCGATAAGGTGAACGGGGTTATCAACCTTGCCCAGGTTCCAGGCCACACCTTGGAAACATCAGTTCTGCTGCTTCCTGGGCTCCCTCAAACACTAGATCTTCAGGGGCAGCACATTCCCTACTGGTTTTCTTTCAATATAGTTGGATTTCAGCTATCAAGAATGCTTTGTCAAAAAATCATTAACGGCTAGGCTGGCATCTCCATGGGCCACAGCATCTTCGGGCTCTGGCATGTAGAGACTGGACATACAAGCCTGTGCATCATAAACCGATTCAGTTATTCAATAAAACCAGCAAAAAATAGAATATACACTTCGAAAAAATAGAATACAAAGATGATCACTTAATGATATATATATTCCCCCCCCCCCTTCTTTTCGATGTAGCTCCGCATTTGGCTGCAGATAACCTGTCCCAAACCTAATTCCTATTCAACACAGGTACTGAACCCCTGGAGCATATCAATGATTCCCTCCTTCTACCAATATCTTACAGAAAAAATGTCTTTCCCTAGCAAAACCCTACGAAAAGCGGCCACAGCTACAGGTTAAAAAACCCCAAACTAAAGAATATAGCAACATGAATAACAAGCATGAAATGAAATTTTACATCTGTGGGCTTAAGGGAAATGAACCATACAAAAAGGTTGTGGCGCAGCATGAAAATAACAGCCATTAAAGCCGATAGGAATTTAACCCTACCTCATTGAAATTTATGTTTGGGAATTCATGACTACCCAAATTCCTGAATAATTGTAAAAAGATAGCATTTGATAGAAAGCAAAAAGGTACAGCTGAAACTTTAGGATCAGAAATTTGGATTAATTTCTGATTGCGATGATATAGTCCAGGTTGTAAATTGTAAGCTGGATATATGCCATATGCAGCAAACCAAAGTTACAGAAATAAAATGCTACACTCCAGGAACATGAAATGTGTAATACACTATTGAGTTCTCTTTGAGCTCCAAACCCTACCCAGTGGTCCCATACCTAATCTGTGGCCTTAATATATCATAGGATGAAGGAGCAAACATACCTTTGTATCAAGTACCATCTCCCCAGAGTTATCTGCAGTAAGACACCCACCATGAGCTTTCAACCATTCCACACATTCCTCCAATCCATCTGTGTCCTTCTCACCACTTGCATCAACTGTAGGCATGACAGTGGGGAAGCCTAGGACCTGAGCAATGTATGAAACAGGAACTGTAGGCCGACATGAACGAGACATGCATCTCACAGCAGCGTATCTCATCTTTTCAACATAAAGATCTACATTGGGAAAAACTATATTATCTACCATGTACTCCTCATAAATGCCACTGAAAAATTGTCAACATTGGAAGCAGAATTAAATAATGAAAATTATCTACACACCCATAAGGCAGGTATTAAGGTTAGGAGCAGTCTTATACAATCTGAAAAACAATACATAATTTCCAGAAGTGACAGCTGCACGAACTGCAAGAGCATGTTTTACAGCTTCATCCTGTCTAGCTCCAACTGATAATCTGGAAAAACCAACACAATGACATTCATTTTAGCATTGTAGATTAACTCAAAAGGGGAAAGAAGGCAAAGACAATCCTTTTTCTTGTAAATTACACTACGATACATTACCCTATGACCATGCATCCTATGCTGAGATCCTACAAAATTTTTTTACAGAATATCATGACTTAAGCCAAATCCATTGGCTGTCAAAATTCAGTCCAATAAAATTGAAAAACTGTTGCAAACTACATATATATATTTCCAAGTCTTGTGACAATGACCAAAAATACCACAATTTTGAATTAAAGTGGGGATTTAGTGATGACATTTACTTTTCCAGTTTTTTCCATCTTTCTTCTGTCAGCATGTGTACATGTGGTCAGAACTAGGGTTCGATGTGGATGATATGGAACTGATGTATTTAATAGTTTACAGGTGTTGATATTTTTTAGGGGACGTTTGGAAGTTGATTACCATTATCTTCAAGTCGAATCACACCAAAAATGGGGAACAATCTTTGAAGTCTTGCTCAACGTGATTTTAGATTATTTTGGTAAATACTGGAGCCCAGCAGACACACACAACAGTCAAATAACTTTAGAATACAAAACACATGAACATTGCAGCATCAATAAGGGTGTTGCATCTTGTGATGATTCATTCATACATGTTTTTACACAAGTATCCAAACAAGTTTCAAATACAAAAGAAGTCTTGGACATGCACACATTCAATCTAAAAAGTTAGCAAGTTACTAGCATCAAATTTCTACAAAGCCATTTACGAAAAGAAATGCACAGAACAATTGCTGATACAGGGAAGGGAAAGAAAGGGTATAACCAAAATCCTAGAAAGAATTAGGTCAAGAAGCACAATTTCTCCAAAGAGAATTCTCAATTGCTTAAGAGCATAATATATGTTTAATTCAATCATTAAAAACCATTTCTTCAAAGTGTTTGTGGGGGTTAATACCACTAATAAGTTTTAAACTAGTGATCTGGTACATGAATCAAGACTATAGCCACAACATGTACTTTTGCGAAAGCTGATAATTAAAGGAAAATGCTGAGCATATGTAAAATGTTTTAAAATCTGAACATGTATCCAAAAACTGAACAATCAACATAAATGGTCCATGGTACTTAAATGTATTCCACCAGTTCTTAAGACCAGAACAGAGTTAAATTTAAGCTAATTGTTGTGCATGGCCTTTCAATTTTCAGCCAAGCACTGACACAACGTAACTACTTGAAGAGCATATGACATGTTTACTAACCTTGACATTGCCGATAGGAGATCCCTGTTATTATTAGAGTGCAAGATGACACAAAGTAAATTGTAAGCCGAAAATTCCATATGGCATCCCTTAATTCCTTCCGCATAAAGTGTTTTCAATTGTGACTGGCACTGCACACCGGATAAAAGTAAATCATAAGTCTTAACTTAATATGCTTGTCAATGATGTGGATGCATGTCTGTGGGCGTGGGTAGTTAGCATTGCATCTAATATACAAGAAGATAACTACGAGGATGGGAGAGAACAGATTATGTATCCAGTTGATCAACATGTAATTACTTACATTTTAAAATGTTCACAAAAGAGAAACGATAAATATGGAAAAAGACACATCAAAAATATTCATTAAGGTGCGCACAGATAGTGTGATATATAATCCTCAGATGAAACAGTTTGATTATTATTTATCACAAAAAAGGTGGTCCTTGACTAAAATTCACCCTCCATCCCTTACTGAATATGCTTTCCGTTTTGACGCATCCTCAAACATTCCCATTCTCCCATACCAATTGAGGCCTTGGCCTAGTAGTAATGGTCTAGCTACTAAGGAGCACACCCTAAGGTTTACATCTCCTCATGGACTGGGTGGGATAAGGGTTTCAATTCTCATAGGAAATATACGAATAAGGATGTAACAATCCTATGTCACAAAGTCAAAGAAATATGGTTTGCATTTACTTTTTTTTATAATCCCCCACTACAAATAAAAAATCAAGGTTTTTAAAATCGGATCCTACCTTACATCGAGGGGGAAGGCTATAGGATCAGGATCGTAGGATCGAATTGAGAATCATAAGACCCTACAAATTGAAAAAATAAGACAAAAAAATATGCAATCCTAATATATATGCAAAATGATGTGTTACAAAAAAAATATAAAATTTAGAGGTATCATTATTTAAACAGCCTGAGCATTGAAAATGGTTAAAAATCAAAAGTGGACCGTTAATCTTGTGGGATGTTGTGAGAATGAGTAGGAGAAATGAAATATTTTGATCTTAACTTTTAGATAGAGAAGAGTATAGAGGAGAGACTGAAAATTTGATAGACTATTCAATAAATAACTTTAATGGTTCGACACTTAAACAAAAAAATAGAAGAAAGTGTAAATGGAAGACTATTTGGCAATTATTAATTATTAGATCAAACCTAACGGTTGTTTTTAATTTTCAACGAGAGAGAAACGAATAAAGAGAACTTTCTGTAGCAAAAGAACTTTAGGCAACTTTTTCACTAATCGAAATTCCCTAATAGGCTGACAATATACAAGACAATCACATTTAAATTGAGTCTTTAAGTATTAAAACAATAAATATGAATTGGGTCAGCTTAATAATTAAATGCGTCTAACAAACAAACTCAACAACTTGGATCAGTAAAATCCAAATTTTGATCGAAATTCTACGATCCTATAAGATTCGGATCACGATTCACTAAGATTCTATTAATTTGGGATTCTACATGAGACTCGAATCGATTTATTTGTTCCGGATCGTAGTAAGATCAAATTTATTCATTTTGATAACCATGGTAAAAGTACATCAAATGCTAAGTGGATTTATTCATTTTGTGCATGGTGGTGTTCATGTAATAAATAACTTCCGACAAACTTCTGTACTTTCAAGAGGACAATCTCTATAGGACAAAGATACTATTATTTTTAGCATCAAAAAGGAAGAAATTAGATAGATACCAAACAATAGAACATTTTTCACAAGTAAGAAGTAAAAAACCATGCCAAAGAAGGGAGTCTTAAAGTTGAAATTGCTCCCACCAATGTAAGCACCAACCTGATTATATTCTGCCAAGTCCCCAACTTCTATTGCAAATCGAGCATGAGTTTCATAGACCTGAAACAGAATTAAGTGCACCATCATTATATTGTCAAGTAAGTTATTCACAAAAGTACAAAATTTAAATTTCAAATAGAGACTAAATGGACCCATGCGAATTAATGACAAATCTTAGGAAAGTATGCCAATCTCTCCTGTGGCAAAAGACAATCACTAAAGAAGTGCACAAAATCCAGTACAAGCCGAGACAAAGCCAGGAAATTGTGTTTGTGGGTACCCATTGCAGGAAAACTAAGGACCAATCAGTGTTATCTAAAAAACTTACATAAAAATCAACAGATCAACCAAGATGATGTTACTTATGCCTGTTTATATTTATTTGTAAATAAATACGTCTGTTTGTTTTATTACATTAAATGGGTTTTACAAGCCAACCAGAAAATTTTTCCTTTTCTCGTTTTTTAAGTATGATTCACTATCATTTTTTGAAGAGAAGCTCAATAAGATTGCCTCAATGATATTTGATGATTTAACACCACTGCATAATTTATAATTTTCCTATATGAACCTAAAATTACAAAGAAAGAAATTATAATTGCCGGTTGAAATGTTAAATAGAAATACTAGAAACCCAATTCGTTGGTCATCAAAAAAGTACAGTTTCTCCAAAATACTAAATTTGACACCAGAGTTTAGACAAAATAAAATCTTAGATATCAGTGTAGTCAACAAAAGATAGAACAAAGGAAAGTAATTAAATACAAAAACTATGCAACATAATTGTAAGAAAAATAATTTCATATTTTGTGGAACAAACGTTTGGAGACATTCATTAGTTCTTTCATCGTTTTCTTTTTTTCATTTTTCTCTTCATTTAGAAAAAATGCTAAACAATCTTTTGATACAGCTTTATTGTTTCGCTTCCACTTTAGTTCTAAGCATATATTATTATTTATTTGCTATAGAGAGTGAGAGTGGGGGGTGGGGGTGTTGGAGCTCCCTCTGTCTTAGCACACATTCAAAAATTATCTTACATACCAGCTAAGTATCTCGGGAATGAATTATACCTCAACTGTTAGCTCATTGCGTATGTGTTGCACAGTAAGATCTTGGCGAATAGATTTTAACTGATCACATTTGTAAAGGTAATTCTTTTCAGAATTTTGTACCATACCCAGAGCTTTTTCTAACACTTCTTCAGGTCTCACCTGCAAGAAATAACGTTTTTAAGCACACCCATTACACAATATACAAGAGAACCTATCAATTAAACATTTAAGCTTCGCTTCAACTCCAAACCTCTATAAGTGGAAAGACTAAAACCCATAGAAACTTACAGTGGAAGGATCAGGTGCAGAAGTGAGACGCAAGTATCGTTTCTCAATTTCTTGGCAGGTCCCTTTGACAGTAAGAGCATCCCAGTCAATATCTTCAACCGCCCTGCTACTGCTGTCTTCAAAGTTTTTGCTAAGCACCAACGCACTTGCCCGTCTAGCATACAAATTTCCAGCCCCAACATTCTTTGGCCTAAAAAGATTATTGTCAGCTCGATTTCCACGTACCTTTTCAAAACGTTTTGAGCGATTCTCACGTTTCTTTCTTTCCTCTGGTGAATCCCCAAGGGCTATTGCAGCAGAATAATATGCAGTTAAATTTTGTTCCTTGTCACTATCACTGGATGCTTCAACATTATCCATTGAATTCAGAACATCACCCAGACACTGCCTCTTAGCTGGCCTTGGGGATTGGGCATTTTTATTAGCAGTTTTCTGGTCCGAGAAAGAAAATTTTACACTACTAAAATTATCCTCCTTGTTCTCCGATTTTCTCACTGAAAACTGCACAGTTAACTGAAATGAGAATATAGACATATTGAACTACTTAGATTAGATGATTACTTCCAAACAATCAATGTTTTAACAGGTATGTCCAATTTGATATTCAATGTTGAATAGTATTTAAAGTCTGATATAAAACTTTTCCCACGTAGTGGTCTTTTAACAAACAGTCATCACAAAAAGAACTACCAAAAAGATGAAATGTGGAATTAAATTGTAGCACAAAAGAGAAAGGAAAATGAAATATATGCACACACAAATGTAAGGCGCCCATAATCAAAAATAACAGAAGAAGGGTTGTGAAAAGAAACATAAAGAGAAGTTTGTGAAATGCCTTAGAACTGAAATAATGAAAAATTGAAGACCTGCTTGTCCCTTTCATTGAAATGAGTCCAACTACCATAGTTTACGGCAGCTTGACTCACGGATGCCGTTTTGTCAACAGGTTTCTCCTCCGGCACAGGCTCCCACCTACTTTTGGATCGCCTACTTGGACTTCTTTTGTTCTTTGGCAATGAAGAGATAGGAGTGGAAAAAACACTGCTGCAGAACAAGAAGAATAATTAAGGATGAATCAACAGAGAACAGACATTTTTCTTGTCCATCAATGATGATATTTATCCCTGGAGGTAACAAGAAAAGAACTGGTTGGGCTCAAGATCCACAGGAATCGACTAAGCAACAATCAGTTGCATTGTGTGATCACCTAATACAACAATGAACAAAGACTTTGGAATATAGTAACTTACATCCAGATCAGGTATAGGTTAATGCCATCTAAAGTACCATAAAACATCTCATGGCATTCTTGTTATTTCAGTAAGTTTAACTATTTACTTTAAGACTGCACATGCCCAGTTAATGGGATGTGACTGCCGAGAATGAAATATGCATTAGTGTGTGTGGGTAAGAGGGCGGACAGAGACAGAGAGTCATGGGTGCTCTGTGTGTGTGTTTTTGTTCTTTTTTTTTTTTTTTTTTTTT